TAGGTTTCGCGGTCCTTCCTAAGGCTAGCACGTAGTTTTGCCCTGACATTTCTGCGAGCCTCATTGTATTCGCTTCCAGCCGGAATATGTCTGCGAGCATCCATAAGTTCCATACACTGTGTAGAGACCCAATGTCCGGTTTGGCAATTTGCTTTGCCACATGAAGTCATGCCAGCTGACAGTAACGTTCGACGAATATGCGACCAGTGATCTTCAACGGTGTTTAATGAGCGCTTACTCAGCCCAGATGTCAGCGCACTATGGTATACATTCATAACATCTGGCTTCGCCAACTGGCTGGTGTCAATGAGTTCACATCGACGTTGCGGACGTCTACCGAAACGAACCAGGAGGTCCGCACAGACAAGTGCGTGGTCAGAGTCCACGCTCGTGCTCCAAATCGAGCGACAATTTTGGACACAGCCTCTCCAGCGGTAACTGATCGCGATATGATCGATTTGCATCCATGGCTGGCCCGAGGCTGCTGGCCGCCAAGTCACACTTCTGCGGGTGCTGTGTCGAAAGTTAGTGCTCGCGAGAAAGAGGCGAGCATCATCACACAGCTGTAGCAATCGCTCACCATTATCATTACGGGAGCCTACACTATGTTGGCCGCAGAGATGAAGATCATCAGAAGACAATTTTCCGACTTGGGCGTTTAGATCACCAGCCAACACCACAGTATCCGTGCTTCTTCTGTAACGAAGGAGCTCGTGCAGTTGCTGATAGAAATCATGTTTTACCGAATTAGTGCTACAGTTTGTAGGGGCGTAAGCCGCAATGACAAAGAGGCACCGTTTATCCCTGCGCGACTTCGTAGCACGGGACGAACCGGCTAATCTAACGGCGCACATCCTACTGTTTACTGGGATCCAATCAATCAGGGCAGCTTCAGCCCGGGGACTCAAAACAATGCGGACGCCAGCTTGACCGGCATTTGAAGCTGCATCATCGCCAGACAGGCGCAATGAGAATGTGCCGCCAGTGTCGCATGTGGGGGATCTCAGGGTAAGCACGGAGCTCGAATCTTGCAGGCGGGTTTCTGATAAACAGCAAATATCGATCGACAGGGTCTCTAGTGTGCGAGTAAGTGCTGCCTGTTGGCCAATCTGCAGCAAGGTGCGCACGTTGAGGCATGCCAATCTTAGCGAGACGCGAGGACTCCAAAGGGAAACGGATGAACTGACGTTGTCCACTTGGTTGAACATGGACTTGTCGACTGGATTGGAGCGAGGCCCTGCGATTGTGTGTGATTTGAAATTAGAAGACAAGCGACTATTGAAGTAAGCTGGGGGAGGGCCAAGAATTGGGGGATTGAAAATGGGGGGATATAAGTAAAGTTGGAGCGGGACGATAAGGATGAAGAAGCGCAAGAAGGGGTATAAGAAGACGGGAAGGCCTGAGCAGTAGCATCCAAACACCTATCCACCCAGCTCGATGCAGCAGATAGGGCGCCGTTTATTATCCTCTGCGACGGCCAGAGCATCAAGAAATTGTTGTAGGAAAGATTCATTGTATTGCGTGGGCAGAATACTGTCAGGTTGCCCAGGCCTAGACAGGAGAACGATTAGGGTTTCAACCAAAGCCTTTGGTTCAAAAACCTTACCGCAAGGCAGCGGGTTTTGGCACTGGACTACAGAGCCCGTTTTATGAAATGAGGAGCCACCCCCATTCCAACCCCCAACCTGGAGGACCAGGAGGCTGAGTTTGTCTGGCCTCTAACCATTGACCAATCTGGTATGAGTGGCTCTGAAGGTGCAAAAAAAGCACCACCCAGCATAGCTCAATGGATCTCTGAGGCACGCAAACAATCGCACCACGGTAAGGTCCAGCCTCATTGCGATGGTTCAGTGCTATCTGCTGTTCTGTGGAGCTAGCATGACTATCATCACTTAGTACTCGTCTACGCACGCTTGTGCCATCCGATAAAAGCAATGCTTCGTAGACAGCGATGATCAAAGACTTGAAGGCGCCTCAGCTCTTCAGACCGAATAGGCCGTCTCACTTCCATAGAGCAGGACGGCCCTCACTGTGGTCTTGTATACGCGGTCTTTCAGGCGGAGGAAAACTGCCTTTTGTCGCCAAAGATGCCGCAGGTTCAAGAAATCAGCGCTGGTCTTTGCAATCCGTGAAAGGACTTCAAATTCTATGCGCCCATCGTTGCTGATGCAGCTGCTAAGGGAAGTGAATTGATAAACCACTTCGAGTTCCTCGTTAGCAAGGATCAAGAGGTAAGCAAGTGTCTGGTGGTCGTGCAACAACACTTTGCACTTTGAAGATGCGAAGTGCATACCCAATAACGGGACCACTCTAGACAGGCTATTCAGCGTTGATTGTGTCGTCGCAACATCGTCGAAAAGCAAGACGATATCGTCCGCATAATCAACATCAACTAACCTTTCACGAGGTAACACTTTAGCACCCATATGGTGAGATTTCACAAGGGAACATTCCATGATAAAATACACGAAATTGAACAGAAGTGCGGAAATCGGACAACCCTGACGAACGCCAATTATGGTCAGAAAGCTATCCGATAGGTCATCGTAGACCCTGACACGACCTGTAGTGTTCAAGTATAGAGCACGAAGGATGTTCACATATTTCGTGGGAACACCCTTCTGCGCAAGTATTTCGAACAGAATCGACCGATCGACTAAATCAAACGGACTATTGAAATCGAGGAGCACAGCTGTTGTCGGTCTGTAGTATGCGTAGCGATGTTTTATCACCTGCCGCAGAGTGAATATATGGTCTAAACAGCCACGTCCTGGATGGAAACCTGCCTGCTCTTCCTTAATCCGAGATTCTTTTTCACAATGAGGTGACGAACAAGGATCGAGGCCAGTAATAATGTCACAATTGGCGTTAGGCTAATACCCTTGTGGTTAGAACAGTCTGTGCGACTGCCCTTCTTGTATATTGCCACCACAATCCATTCGCTCCAATTAGACGGGACCGTCGCTTCCTTCCAGATAGATTCGAATAAGGAGGTCAGTGCTTTGCAGAGGACCTCATTACCATCCTTAAATAGTGCAGATGGGAGGGAATCCGGGCCAGCGGTACGAAAACGATTGAAGGCTGTGATCGTGTTTCGGACCTCGGCCTCCGATGGGGCCTCTAAATTAACCGTCCATGGCTCCTGCACTACCTGAGTAGAAAGGGGTCCGGGAGAAGGGGGCCAGCTGAACTGATCTTGAAAGCGTTCTGCCCAAGGAGCCATACGGCGCTCCTTATTATGTATCAGCGCACCCGCGCTGTCTCCGATTGTCTCACTGACGCCTAGTTTCCTGGAACCAGTGGTGCGGCTTAGCTGGAAGAGCTTGCGGTAATTGTTTACTGCTCCTGCCTCTCCCATTTCTTGAGCCCTACTAGTCCACCAGGATTCCTTGCCAGCACGTAGGCTTCGCTTTAGTTCGCGCCCAATAGCGCGTCTGGTCACATTGGGCTCAGAGCCAGTCGGTAGGTGTCTTCTAGATTCCAACAGGTTCACTAACCTCTTGGATATCCAGTGACTGGTGCGGTGAAGATGAATAGTGCCACAAGTAGATGCCCCTGCGTCGTGTATGGCGGCCAAGATCCTATTCCACTGAGGCTCAGTGTCATTAGAACAAGACAGCGACATTTCGGTACGCAGTGCGTTTTGATAGGCTTGCCTGACCGAGGGCTGAGACAATTTCTCGTTTGCCAATCGGAGGAGACGCTTGGTGCGCCTACCGGTAAAGTTCATGGAGAAACGACAGCGTACCAAGACATGGTCAGAGTCGACGCAGGTAGTTCAGTACAAGCGGCAAAACAGAAGGGAACCACGCCATCTGTAACTTATGGCTGTGTGGTCAATTTGGGTCCATCGCTGGCCAGCTACAGGACGCCAAGTGGCATTTCGGCGCCCACTGTGTCTAAAAGCAGTGCCACTAAGAAAGAGCAACAGATGGTCACCATTACCAGTCCGTTCAGGGTTAAACCCATAAGTACCACCCAGCTGAGCATCTGAAGAGTTCAGACGCCCTACTTGTGCGTTCATATCCCCTGCAAGTACTATGATATCTGAAATAGTAGCACTGCGTGGTAGCGCGTTCAGTTCGTGACGGAATGTGTCCTTGACAGCATTTGAACTGCAGTCGGAGGGAGCCTAAGCGGGAACCACAAACAAACAGCGTTGTGTACTACTTCGTGAATCAACCTTAGATGGTGTCGCCAAACGGGCTGCACATAAACGGCTGTTCACCGGAATCCAATCAACCAACAATGGCTCAGCTTAGAATGATATCTACACCAGCTTGACCCGTGAGTGCTGCATCGGGATCTCCGGATGCGTGCAACCAATAATGAGAGGATAAGTCGGGTGCAGTTAATTCAACAACTTCATTAGAGTTATTAATACTAGTTTCGGACACAACACATCAATACCCAGTGTGTCCAAGGTGCGTGCGAGTGCAGCCTGATGACCTATTTGTTTTACAGTGCGGACATTGAACGTCACCATGGAAACGGGACAGTGTGGCCTTATAAGGGACTTTTGCCGATAGGCGTTGTGGGATGGTGACTGCAGATGGTTCTACTCTAGTGGCAGTTGGGTTGCTGTCAATTAAGCTGAGAATTATAGAAGGAAGAGTAGTAATGGGGACCGGGATGGGAGTAAGAGAAACAGGTGGAAAAGAAAGAAGTGAGGCGCCAGCAGTATCATGTTTTCGCTTATCCGCCCTGCTGTATGCAGCAGATAAGGCGACCCTTGATAATCTGCGTAACGGCCGATGCAGGATGGAAGTTATGTTTGAAGAAAAAGTCATGGTTGTATGTGGGCTGAGATACTGCCAGGGCTCCCAGACCTAGACAGGAGGACGATTAGTCGTCATCGAAAGCCTTCGGCTCAAAAGCCTGTCCGCAAGGCAGCGGGGAGGTGGCAATGATTTAGTTTTACAGAAATGGACGTCATCGCATTGCAAACACCCAACCTGCAGGACCAGGAGAATGAGTTTGTCTGAGCTCTCACCAATGACCAACCTGGTAGGAGTAGATCTCAAGGTGCCCGGAGGCAGCACCCAGTATAGCTCAATGGGTCAAGAAGGTACGCAAACCGTCGCACACGTTAAGATCCAGTCTCGTTGCGACGGATTTGCATGCGTTTCGGAGAATCCCCAAGCGCGCTCACTACCGACCGGACGTCGCCAATCTACAAAACCCTGCGATTTCAATCAGGTATTAAGCTTCACTGTTAACATTGGTTGGCTCAATTACAGACGTTGACTTCGATTCGCAGATCAAAGATGCCTTAGTTTCCGCCAGTATCGACACTTGTGGAGCTGACCGCTACCCACAGGGGCATTGCATTTCCGCCGTCTCCCTTGTCGCTGATGGACAAACGCCACTTGATCCTGACGGATTTCAGCCACAGTGAAGAACGCCAATCCCTGGGTCGAGATTTGCGCAGGAGTCTGCAAATGGACCGCGAAGCTTGGTGATGTGAACGTGCTAGGGAGGTGGAGCTTGCTAGTCTCTGGTAATACAGAAAACTTTTTCATCTCATTCGAGTCACCGAAGGTGTTCGATCTGGCATGAGTGAAACAACATGCGAAGAGAATGGCACATTAGTCGTCAATCTGCAACGACGGTTGGAGTGACGGGTCGAACATTTTGGCTCGCAGTTTTGTTGGCCCCCAGCTCCATCTGCTACCACTGACGCTCGCACTGGTGCCCAGTGGTCAACACCTACGTATCCCTCCTCTTATCAGCAAATCGAGCAGGAGCTCCGCCACATGGGGAGTTATAAAACCCTCGGCCCTGATGGTTTTCCTCCAGCACTATTTAAAGATGGTGGCGCTTCGCTAGTTCAAAAACTCACTGCTTTATTCTCGAAAGTTTGGACGAAAGAGGAAGTTACATCATCTTAGGATGTAACGGTAGTCGTCCCCATCTTCAAAAGGGGTCTGCGCACAATCTCCTTCAACTAAAGAGGCATAAGAAATCCGCGAGAATATTTGTAGCTCGGGATGCGGATGAGGGTATGCGGGTGTTCTCCGAGCTGGCTGATTTGGCTGCAAACGTTTCATCGTCAGGCTAGACGACATCATCAGTGCGACTTATGAGGACCACTTACAGATCCAAGTGATTATTGATCACTTGATTTCGAAAGGCTAATAAAGGACGTCTTACTGTTGTAATGAACAAAGCTGATTATACGAAGAAAGCGCAAGAACTCCTCCAAGATGTGAATACCTACCAACCAGTAAAGGAAGATCCCACAAAACGACTGGAAAGCAAAATCAAACGCACTTTACAAAATCTGGAACAAATGGGACAAATCACAAAATTAGAACACAGCAAGATGAAACCAGAGGATTCGGTGCTACCGGGATTTTACGGCCTGCCAAAAGTTCACAAAAGCGGTCCCCCTCCGCCCTATCGTGTCGTTACTTGGAGCTTCGAATTACAAACTTTCCGAGGAAATCTGGAAGAGATTGAAGCACCTGATCTCTGGCTCGGAACACTCCATACAATCTGCAGAACAATTCCTGACTAAGCTCAGGGAAACAGTAATAGAAGAGGACGAAATCATAGTTTCCTTTGATGTAACAGCTTTGTTCACTTCAATCAACACCAAGCTGGCGAAGTAAACGATGGCAACACTACTAGACCAACGCGGATCCTCAGACACGAACAATAAAATAGATGCCATCCACATGATGGAGTTGTTGGATTTATGCCTCACGACACACTTCAGTTTCAACGGCCAAACCTATGAACAAATAACAGGCACGCCAATGGGTTCACCGATATCTGGACTAGTGGCCGAAGCGGTGATGCAAGCATTGGAGGAAACCGCACTCCCGGTCGCAAAACCTAAACTCTGGCTACGCTACGTGGACGATACTTTTGTCATCCTAAAGCGCTCGAAACTGGAAGAAACACATCAGCTAATAAACAACACGTTTGCTGGTATCCGTTTCACTAAAGAAGAGGAGAGCAATGGTCAGCTACCATTCTTAGATGTATTAGTAAAATGACATGCTGCTGGACAACTGGAGACAACAGTTTATCGGAAAGCGACGCATACAGACCAAATCCTGAATTATCGCAGCAATCATCCAACAGTCTACAAGCGCAGCTGCGTAACAACTCTATTTAAAAGAGCGCAGACACATTGCAGCACCCCGCAGCTGAGGAAAGCGGAGGAAGATTATGTTTTCGAAATGTTTACAAGGAATGGGTATCCTAGAAATTTCATTCTACGTTGTTTAACATCAATAAAACGACCGACGCATGAACAAACATCAGAAACGGATAAAAGGACAATCATTCTACCATACATCAACGGCGTCTCTGAGATGGCGGCGAGACTGCTACTACCTTTCGGAATCAGAGTTGCTCACAAGCCGATGGAAACCATCCGAGACAAGCGCTTCAATGGCAAGGACCGGCTTGGCATAGAAGAAACAAGTGGTGTGATTTACGAAATCCACTGCAAAAATTGTAACAAATACTATGTGGGCCGGACAGGAAGAAAGCTCGGCACTAGGCTACATGAGCATAGCCTAGCCATCCACCGACATGACCAGAACTCCCTAATGTCAGTACATATGGACGCCGAGAATCATCAGTTTGATTTGGAAAATGTCAGGATCATACGCAGGGCAAAAATTCGAAAAGCACGCGAGTGCATCGAGGCTTGGTATTCGGGGAAGAACTCAATCAACCGACACCTAGATCTTGATACTGCCTATGAAGCACTGAGGATCAAAACCATACTCCGCCCCAGATCAAAAGGACAAAGGAACGTCATTGAGGCGGACTCTAGCCAACAGTACGCAAGAGCTGACTACACGGTCGGCTCACGTGGACCACTAGACTCCGGCACAGTAGCTGAGGTGTTCCCAACCTCTAGCTAACGTGTATGATGATGATGATGAGACTCCTGACTTTCGAATCAAGTGATCAATAATCACTTGGATCTGTAAGTGGTCCGCATAAATCGCACTGATGATGTCGTCTAGCCTAACGATGAAACGTTTGCAGCCAAATCAGCCAGCTCGGAGAACACCCGCATACCCTTAGAGCAGGGTTTCCCAACCTGGGGGTAATTACCCCCAAGGGGGTAAAATGGCATTTTCCGAGGGGTAAATACCGATAATTGGATTTGGTCACAAATCAGTCGCGAAATAAGCTTAATAACGAAATCACACATCGCAACTAGCTCAGCATTTTTAGTTAGCCATCAGTCAATGCAGCTACTACGGCATGGCGCCTTTGTCGACTGCCACAACTACTGCCGTGTTTTCGAATAAGCCAGTCGTTCACCGGGTCGAATAACGGGGTGGATAGCAAACTATCGTTTCAGCACTGGTCAAAGTACCAGTTTTGTTCACAGGTGAATGTTTGACAGTAGGAACGGCGAGAAAGGGTGATTAGTGTTCACAAGGTATGGATACAGAATGGTGTCGGGAAAATGTCGAGGAATAACGTGGAACGGAGGAATGAAACACATGTTCATGTTTGATTAGGAATCAGACACGATGTGGTCAAGAGAGGGCCTGAATCGGGATAACGGTAGGCGTTTGGAAGGGCAGAGAAACGATACAATTGGGGTCACAACCAACATAGAATCAGCAGATTGGACGCCAGTGACCATTAGGTGTTATGTTGATCACTTTCATGAGCAGTTGTTTTTGACGAGAAGTCATGGCAGGTGAGCATTTTCATTCAGTGGCTTTGATGCCGACAAAAATATATTTGTCTGCGAACGTTTGCGATAATGTCACCTGCATGGAATAACGAGATTAATTTCTATAAATGATATATATCTATAACATCTACTTACTTAATTGTTTGCAGGGAATACGTCTTGCAGAAAAAAGCGGTCCTACAAAGAAGCATTTCTGCAGTGGGGCTTCACTAACTTCGCTGATAAAAATGTTGAGAAACCGCAATGCGTTTTGTGCAGCAAAGTGCTCACGGCGGAGAGTATGAAACCTAGTAAATTGAAACAGCACTTCGAACGAAGCCATGCCCATTTGATAGGAAAAGATATTACATTCTTTAGAAGGAAAGAAGCTGCGCTAAAACTTTCGCGCCTGGATTCATCGAGCTTCTTTTCTCGGGCAAATGAGGCTGGCCTTGAAGCTTCGTATCGCTTTGCGCTTCGAATCGCCAAAAACAAGAAGCTGCATACCATAGGAGAGGACCTCTTCAAACCTTGCATAATGGATGCGGTTAAGCTCGTTCTTGGAGAACATCATGCGGAGAAGATTAATATGATATCACTTCCGAACAACACCATCAAAAGTCGTATCGAGGACATGAGCAAACCAATTTTGAACACGGTGCTCAACGAAATAAGATCAAGTCCCTTCTTTGCAATCCAGTTAGATGAGTCGACCGACGTAGCGTCCTGTACCCAACTACTTGTGTATGTTCGGTACCTAAAAAGTGATAGCTTCAAAGAAGAGTACTTGTTCTCAGAATCCTTGAGCACGACTACGCGTGGCGAAGATGTCTTCCGAATAGTAAAGAAGTTCCTCGAGGAAAACATGCTACTGTGGTCGAATTTAGTGGGTGTCTGTACAGATGGAGCACCAGCCATGTTGGGCGTCCGTTCCGGATTCCAAACATTGGTCAAAAATGTTGCTCCGCACGCTACCTTTAGTCACCGCATCGTACATCGTTACGCTTTAGCAGTGAGCACTCTTCCACCTGCTTTACTTGACGTGTTAACCAAAGTAGTAAAGATAGTAAATGTCATCCGCGGTAGTGCGACCCACACAAGAATGTTCAAAGAGTTGTGCAATGAATTTGGAAGCAAATTCGACGTGCTACTATTGCACACAGAAGTGCGTTGGTTGTCACGAAGCAGGGTGTTGCACCGAGTGCTTCAGCTTCGAGAGGAAATTGCAATCTTTCTTCGAAGAAAAGAGATGCATAAGGGTAAGGGAAACGAGTTACACGTTATTATAACGGACAGGGTGTTTATTTCGAAACTTGCTTATCTTGCTGATTTCTTTGGAGAAATC